GTGTGACCCTTACCGATAACTCGGGTATGGGATGTCCGTGACACGTAAGGAGGTAGTGTACGTTGTATGTGTGACGTACACGAATAACTCTGGTGTGGGGGACGTCCGTGACACGTAAAGGAAGGTAGTGGACGTGGTGTACTTAAGATCTTCATTATAAATTGAGTTCTAAGTTTCAAAACCAAGAAGTTACTTTGTTTACTAAACAAAGTTATTTTATTAATTTTGAACAAGACAAGGATAATGTTCATTTAGACAAATTACAGTACAAAAGAATACGTTTTGTTTTCCAAATATAAATCGAACCTATACTGTGGTTAAGCTAATGTAACGGGGAGTTGAGGGTCATCAAGGGGTACGCCTTTCAAAGGTTATACTTTATAAAGGTGTTTAAGGGGGTCGGATTTGAAGGGTACCATTAAAATGGCCTTTGAATCCCTTTTAGGCGGCGAAACGTTGGGAATCAGTGTTAATATTTTTCATTTACAAGGGCCTTGAATGAAATTAAAACATTACGTCTATGTGTAGTTTCTCTTTTATGTTATAGTTATTCTTACGGAAATTGAAAACACATGAATACATTCTGTGTTGTCTTGATACACTTGAGTCTTTTGCTCTTTGGTTCTATAAATCCCAAGTTTGTACCACCAAGAGACGAGTACCTTAAATATAAATATCCTTTTCGGACCGCGAAAGTACTTCCTATAAGTATAAGGTCGCGGATATATGATTTGCTACCTTTGCGTTACCTGCGGGTGTTATGATCTCAAATTTTGTTAGACTTTACTTCCTGACTCGACGTTTATACGGTGAGACAAAATAGATCAGTCAGTGTGTAAATTCTAGTTTGTGGTGATAAAATTCACTTGTATGTTCTCAAGTCGGCACTCGGGCTTTCATTTTTGCCTCGTTTACCTTGGTTCTTTCACTTTGGTCACTTCGTCTAAGGTCCGGCATCCGGCATAATCCTAAGTGTGAACCTTCTCACAATCGGATGTCTTGTCATGTCAAAATGTCTCCTCTTTTATTTCAGACTAGGAAAATGTTGTTTGTGCATACGACGAGAAAAAAATCCAAAAAATGATGTAAAATTAGGAAAGATCATTTGGGTGTTAGAACATCTTTACATTAGACTAATGTAAAACCAAATACATTGCATTCCCTTATGAAAAACAACATAAGGGACTAATGTATAAGGAAAGGATGTACATCTTAGGTAACGAGGGGTTCGGACCAGGTAGTCGCACGACCCCAAATTATCTTTGAACTGTTCCTGTCAGGAGCATCGGTAGTGTTTCGGAGGGGACGACGACGTTTGTATAATGGAAAACCAGAATTTTACTCTAAATTTTGCAAATTAGGACGTCGCACGTACCGTAGCACGTTCAGAGATAGGGTGTCTATTCCCTCGCGCTCCACACGCGGATTTACAGAAAGATTGGAAATTCGGATTCCCCGGACTCCCTCCCAAACTGTGACAGTGTGATGATTACGTAGTAGGGAGCTATCAAACAACAACACACAAACACAAACACCGGCGCGCGCCACACACCACACACACCACACCAACACACACAACACACACACCAACACACACACACCACACACACCACACACGTTTTGTCCTGAATGCGGCGTTTCGGTTTCTGTCGAACTGAACCGATAACTAACAATACGTTGATTTTGGGTTCTCCCAGCCAAATGAACCTTTGTACTTGAAGTGTGCTGGTGTGTGGTCTTGTCGGTTTGTTGAACGAAGACGGGAAAATTGTGTTTATGACTGGTGAAGACGAAGAAAAAAACCACGGACCCTTATGTTCGGACGTCTGAGTCTTCTTTGGCCCGCTCATAACACTTCCCACGTATGTGGATCCTCCCGTGTCAAAACCTTTTTCGTTGATTATCTCGCCCACGTCACTCTTCTTAAACACATCCGACACGTGCACCAATCGTAGGTATTCCGAGAGGGTTTTTAGTTAATTTAAGAATTAACCCTAAAACCCCTAATAGTTTTTTATTAGACACCGTTTAGCAAACAAGTCATCCTTGGCATGTGATTGAGGAATGGCATGGATATTCAAGTGTACTTGAATGGCATCTGTTTGTTTTAGTCAAGATTATGCTGAAATATACGTTCCCCAACTATATTTAAGTTCCCTATGAAGAGCCAACCTTCAATTAAAAAAATTCCCGTTAATTCCCGTGGAAAGTTTCCATCTTTGAAAATTCCCCGAATTTTGCAACCCTAATTGTGACTCTTGGATTAGTTCACATTGTTCTACAGGTAACTCGTATTCATAACAGATTACATAGTAACCCTCCCTTCCCTGTTGGCTGGTTAGCAAGCCTTTAACACGTTGTAAATCTAGCATGGCTGCAGGTGGTGCTACATCACATGAATGCTTTCAGCTCTGATGAACATACATTCACAATATTCACCAGTAGAGATAAATAAACACTCCTTCTCCCCCCTCCTGTGCACTCCGCCTAAGTGGATCAGCTGTAAATCTCAGCGACTCTCACTTGTGTGTGTATGGACCTCTGAACTTGTTGGTGTGTGTTGTTGTGTATACAGCTGTTGTGAGAGGCAGATGTGATGAGGAGGAGGAGGGGGGGGGGGGCTGTAGTGACTGAGGCGGCTGGAATTAGGCCACCCTGTCCAGCTGTGGACTTTTTTAGCGGTAGGCTAATCAGAAGCTGTAAAATCCACTTTCTTTCAAAATATTGAAAATAAAAACGGATTATAGCTCAACACTGTGCCAAGTACTACATTTAGAGTTGTTTGAAAACAATAGGTGTTGGATAGGGTTAGTGGCTGCCCTCCACTGAAGTGTGTTCTTGTTGAACAGTAGTCCTCAGTTCAGGAGATTAGGCTTCACAAACTGCTTTCTATGGTGACCTTCATGTACAAACGCTCCACAACGGCCCAATATAATAACACAAATAAATAAAATATGTATATCATATAAAACTGTAGGAATACGAACGTGCAAATGCATGTGTGAGATAATACGTTTCTGCTTCATTTATCCGTCCCGTTGATGACATGTTTTTATTTAGCATGTTTACAGATGTGTGTTGGTGACAGATGTTTGTTGATGTGCAGGTTGGAGCAGCAGAGGCTGGAGCAGCAGGAGAGAGAGAGACTGGAGCACGAGAGACTGGAGCACGAGAGACTGGAGAATGAGAGACTGGAGAGAGAACGACAAGCTGCTGCAGGTCAGGAACACGCAGACTGATCAGAACACACCTAAACAGCTGCACCTCACTACGATAGGAGTAACCAGGGTTTGTTAGCAAATGTACAGGCGCAGAGCACGGGTGGGCAACATGCTAAAGCTACGACGCCCAACAGATCAGTTAAAAATGACTGATCAACATGAGGGTGATTGATGAGCACCTTTTTATAAATGCATTAACTCCCAGATGTTCTGTATGTTTAGTCAAAGGTATTCATTATCAATATCTCTGAGTGTGTGGTACAAACAGGGAGACTGAAATGTAGTTTCTCATCGTCTGAAGATTCAAATATATTATAATATTGTGGTAAATGATACTGATGGTGCCTTTTCTGTTTTTGTTTTTTAGTCCCTATAGCTCCTGCTCCCCCGCCGGCCACTGGAGGCCCCCCCCCTCCACCGGCTCCTCCTCCACCCCCCGGCCCTCCTCCGGCTCCTGGACCTCCACCTAGTTCTGGCATCCCTCCTCCACCGGGACCACCTCCCACAGGTCCTCCGCCAGCACCACCCCTACCCATTCCGGGAGGGGGAGGAGGAGGAGGAGGAGGTGGGGGAGGAGGAGGAGGTGGAAGTGGAGGAGGTGGCAGCAGTGATGGAGGCGGAGGAGGTGGTGGTCTCGGAGGACCCGGGGGTTTAGCGGCTGCCTTAGCAGGAGCTAAACTGCGCAAAGTTTCCAAGGTGAGTACGCTGGTTTTACGGTCCTGTCACTCTTTAAGCTTCTCTTGAAGCAACATAGAACATAATTACATTTATTTTGGGCTTCTCTAAATCACGAGAGCAACTTATACGGGACATTTCCATCTACGTCATGGTCCCGCCCCTTTTAGGGTGAAACTATCTGCTGTCATTTTTGCCAATGTATCATAATATATTCCATACCTGCGACGACTAGTCGACTATTCGCCTGAATTTCCGCCCACAGCCAGATGTGAATGCATCACCAACAGTCACTACTTTGACTTATAACATTACACATGTTTACTTTGACGATTGACGTTAACCTCATTAGCATCATAATATAGCTCTGATGAAGCGTTCCCCGTGTGTTGACTGACCGGGAACCAGTGTTTACGATCTCTGTCCTCTTAATGGAGCCCCGATGCCTCGGATATCTTCTTGTATCGTCTTTTTTTAAATAATAATAATATTTTTTTTTTGTTTGACGTGCAATACAGAGCAAAGCAGCTTTTCAACACGATAAACCATACTTTCAGCTTGGCGTCGACTCTTTGCTACCACAACTAAGGGCCCGTGGCGTCATCTAGCCGGGCAGTGAAGTAGCACTGCTCTCATCTATAATACAAACGGCCTTCTGCTGCTGCATTGATCCAATCCTAGAGTTGTTCCTACTTGCTTTGCTAGGATTCCTGCAGCCATTAGTAATCAGTCACTGAGTCATCACACACACACACACACACACACACACACACACACACACACACACACACACACACACACACACACACACACACACACACACACACACACACAGTCTGGCCAGGTTGGACTAACTGTTCGGCCGCCACGCTGCTGCCACTGACAGCGTCACCACGTCTCCACATTCATTCAGTGATTTGGACGGTGGAGCCAACATGGCTGCCACTGAAAAAAAGTGCAAAGGCCAAACTCTCATGTGTGGCTCTGCCTTCAAATTCTAACAGAGACAAAACAATGACATTTTCTAATTGAGTTAAAACACCAGAACAGAGACAGTAAAGACTCGTAAATAACCTTTCGGTGATGCAGCCATCGATTCCAGAGTTAAGTGTAAACCATGTGATTGCAAAGTACTGAGAACAAGAACCCAAAACAAACACTGAGATGACATTTTAACACGCTCTAGCTTTACATGTGAACAGCTATGAGACGACTACTCTCTCTCTCACACACACGCTCACACACTCACACCTGTAACAGAATATAGAACAATTTAGTATTTTGGAAACTAAGTGTAAAGTGTCCTTTATAGACAAGAAAGCTCAAAAAAATAAATATCGACAGTTATTTGTTTTCTTCCTTTTGCAACACTTTTTTTTTTAACCTATTATGTGCAAGTTCTGTGCAATGCCAGGCTTGTTGAACATCAAAACAGAAATTATTTCAGCTGAAATCACTTGACATTCATTGACTTAGTTTTTTAACATTTAAGTCACAAGATGGAATCAAAAGGTAAGAACTCAATCTCCCAGCAGGCCATGCTGCTGTCTGAACATTCCAGAGTCTGCGGTAAATAAAAGGCTTGGGATAATAAGAACCAAAGAACTAAAATCAGAGACTTCCCACTGCATTGGAAAAGAGACACTCAAGTTGCACTTCAAGTATTTGAGGCCTTGAGTCTCTCACTTACACTTTTAACAAGGAGTGTTGCCCCTGACGACACGTGAAGCCTGAAACTTCACCCATAAATGTGCAAAAACTTTAGGAAGTCACATGCTTGTTGAGCGTGTACTGGCCGAGCACAATTCTTCATCTTTAAAAGAGTGCATGTTGGTCTTTACACGTTTAAGTTCAAACTAAAAGACACAAACATCCAGCCATGCATTAGTAAATACATCCCTGGCCTATTAGGACAATAAAGACAAGAGCTTCAGGGATTTTTACAGAGTCATACTTTGGTGTTCTACACATGCATATTGCTGTTATCACATGCAAACCTCCTAAACCCAAATCTTTATATTCATGTTTGTCATTAAACTGAAGAAGTGTGTCCATTCGTTTACCAGAATATGTTATTGCCCTATGTCAGAAGCCAAAATGCTTCTGTGCCTCCTCCTTGTCTTTTGTTATCCCTGCGTTTTTTGTCCCAGCACCAAAGAGGTGGTCATCTCTCTGCTCCACTATGGGACTGACTGAATGTACCTGAAACTATGGAAGGAATCTATTCTGTTAAAACTCTGCACCCAACACCCATCAAAGTGAAAAAATAACAACCACATTGAGTGAATCCTCTTCTAAAACCTTAGTTAAAAATAAGATTTTCCATTAAATGCTGTATTACAACCAAAAATAATCTTCCTTCAATCAGAAAATGAACTCACTGCAATTAACATTTCAATTTCGTATGTTCACGCTGATTTAGCTGAAAGGAAAACTGACCCAAATCCACAGCCTTTGACCTTAACAGGGGTAAAAACATCCAGATTTGACCACCATAACAACCCCTCTCCGCCTGCACCCCCCTCACACACAGTCCTCTCCCCAGCTGATTAACAGAGGCTGTTATTGCAACAAAAAATCTGATTTGTCAGAAAACATAAACAATCAAATCTTAAATCTCACACTAAGTATTTCTTACTTAAACTTATCAAAGTCCTCTATTGCAAGCTATTAAAACATTCCAAGATTATATAACCGTATTGGTTAACACTCGTTATCCTTCAGTATTAATACAAGTTTACTTTTAATCTATACAACTTGTGTATTCATTTTTTATGTTAAGCATATTAGTCTCATCACTGTGTATAAATGTTAAGAGCATTACAACTGTTTTAATACCTCACCTACTATCAACATCTGAGGCAGAATGAAGCACTCTCCTACAACACTTTAAAGAAAACAATTTTAGACATTTGGTTCAAGACATTTTATATTCTACTTAGGGGATCACTGGATTTCAGTGGGAACGTTTTTACTTGGTAATTTGTTCAAATATTCTTGTTAAGGCAAAGTTGTATCATCTGAAAAATCTGCCTCCATCGACTAATTTTGTATTTCCAAATTTGTAACATTTCTCTTAGGTTCAAAGATTTAAAAGAGTAGATTGGCATTGTGGGACATATATGTATATGGTCAATACCACTCTGGTATACTATATATTTTCAAATATTTGTTAAAGTGAAAACAGTCCTTCTCTATCGTCTTCTCAATATGCAATTAGCATACAGCACACATGTAATAAGCATAAAAAATACTATATTATACCTTTATTTAGCCCAGTACAATGGAACCAAGACAACTAAATCAGGAGTAAGGCGAACCGTAAGTCCTCCACCGAGGCTCACTTAACAAGCCTAAACCTGTTAATATAGGCTACTAGTTCTCAACCCTAGGGGCTTTATTTAATTTTTTTCTACATTTTATATCATTTTCTTTCAATATATCCAGAATCCATTCCATAGTCTTTCATCCCATTCCTGACAACAACCGTGTCCCCAGACAACTGAATCCATCACACCAAGAGGATTCCAAATCAAGGCTTTTCTAACTGAGTGCTGTTGAACACTCTTCAAAACAATGGCTCATAATGTGCAGTTAGTGACAAACATTGTGCCAACTGCATTTTCTAAAATAATATGCAAGAAGGTCGAGAAAGAAAGAGAGAGGACAACCCAACATCTGTCTTCTTCTATGGTGTTTAGTGTGTCTCTTATTTTCTAACATGCAGCATGTAGGCTAGTGTAGATTACAAAAATAAACAGAAGCAGCATTCTGGGCCCTCAATAAACCAGGAAAATAATATTTGGGATTGTAATGCCCTGTATACTGCACATATTGCATTTGCGGTCTTTCTTTTCGTGGAATTTCACTCAATACACATCTGTATTCTTGACCTTCAATATAGTGACAACTTCTGATCAGAGCCTTTTGTCAGCTTTGGCCTAGAGTGTAGCCTTAGACTTGATCCAGATCAAAATGTTCCCCAAGAACAAGACTTTCCGGCTCTTAGTTTCAGAAATGCCACTTCCAAAAGTCTTTAGTCTTAAAGCTACTATCGCAGAGTGCTGTAAAGTGTGTAATTGAATTTGGTGAATTCGTCAGCAGACACACTTGTCGATCTCGTCGGCATCTTCTTAGCAAAGATCCGATCAAGCAGATTCGACAGCGAGGAAGAACAATTTTCAGCATTTTTGAATGACTCGAGAAGTAATGTTCATCAACAGCGTTCATCCTTCATTCGATTGTGTTGACCCCAAATGAAGAAGTGTATGTGCGTGTGTATGTGTGCGAATCCCCTGAAGTTTCCTGTCCAGGCGGCTGCTCAGTAGCACCTCCTAGAGGCCCTGAGAAACGGAGACAACCTCTCCTTAAAAGCATGACCAATGGACAAGTCATTTCTTGATGACCCTGACGGATCACTCAAATGTCAGTGGAAGTAATTTCTGCGTTGGCTGAAACAGCGCTGGGACCAAATGTTTTTTTTGTTGGGAGAGTTGGTCTGGTGCGACACTGGTCCCTACGTCAGATTGAGTTTTTTTCACCAAAGAAACACAGAATCGAAAAAAAGCCAGTCAAAGCTGAAAAACAACAGTGGACCGAATGCACACCAGCCGCCGTCCATGATTATTTGTGAAGTGAATTTAGTTGTTTCTGCAGCATCGTCGACTTGAGCCTACCAATCACAGAGCAGACTCATTCTCCGTGTGACAGGAAGTAGTGGTGGTGGTGGCCTTGCCCTTCTTGTTGAGTTTTAGGAAGCTTGGTTTCTCCGTCACAACGGCAACAGCCAGTTCGTCACTGATGGGCTTTTCCGGCTTTGCCAAGGACCGTTTCGAAGCTTTGGCTGAATCCCCATTCCTGTCAATCATAATGTATATCATGGTTAGGACTGTGTTTTAAGCATAAAGGAATAGTTTGAGAAATATGCTTTTTCGCTTTCTTTCCAACCAAAGGTTAGCTTAATTTAGCCTTGCATTCTGGAAAAATTCACAATAACTGAGCTTTAGAGGTGCTGGTATCTGGAAATTGTTAGTTTTGGACACCTCATTACCTCTGTTTCCAGTCTTTTTGCTAAGCTAACGTAT